TAATTAGCAATTTGTAGGGAGACACTTTAAGATCGTGCAGATATCCTGCTCCTCTTCAGATTGTTCTCCCTAGATTTAACATCCCTTGAGGATTCTGGACCATGCCTGTCTTTTTTATGGTGGTTGCAAAATGATTTTTTTAACTCTACCACTTCCTCTACATTTACCATTTGAGTCTGTAGTAAACAAGAGCTCTTCCACCTCTCTCATTCATTCATTATTTATGTATCTATCATTGATAAGGATTTTTGTTGTTTTCAATGACTTATAATTCTTTACTGTCCTCAATTGGTACTTAAATGGTCTCAGTTTGGGGCAAAGAGAGTGCTTCAAGCTGGCTCCTATGTTGTTTTGACATGCCATCTTCATTTTTTTGAGCATTCTCTTACTTTTTGACATGGCAAGATGTTTCAGACTCATCTTCTATCTTTCCTACTTAGGCCTTGTAATCAGCCATTTTTCTGAGGAGCTTTAGTGTTAGACATTGAGATCTGAGTGCTTAGATATATATATTGCTGAATGGGTATCTTTGCTCCTAGTTGTCAAAACTAGGAAGAATACACACACAAACATGTACATATGGATATATATACACAGATATACACATACATACTTATGTTTACACACATAAGCACACATAGGTACACATGCATGTGTTCATATGTATTATAGAACTCATGAGTTCATAATGATGCCTCCAATTCAGTCATCCCATGGTATCTTCCTTGCTTTACCGCATTTCATATCTGCCATCTCCTGTCTTCCTCAGTGAGAATCCCAGCTCCCAACAAGGTCAACACATTTATTCATTTGCTTAATTCTGTACCACATCTAAAATAGCTTAGAATCACGTCACCCATATAACTATCAAAAAGGAGGAGTTCAGGATTTGTTTACTGTTCTCCTTCCTTCTCCCCAAGGCTGAGAGTATATAGTCATATACTGTTTTCATCAATTGATGGGATTAATGTTTTATTCTCCATGCAATTTAGTTATGTTCTTTGGATTTATTTGTTTAAGTTTGTTTTCACCTTTTTTTTATTTTGAAAATGTGGGGTACAATTCAGGGTTAGGTATACAAATGTTCATTTTGCAGTTACCCTTGTTGATGAGGGGAGATGTATCTTTAGATTTAGTTCTTGTAAATGGAGTTGCTGAGTCAAAGGTTATATGCATGTGTAGTTTTGCTAAATACCATTTAGTGACTTTTTGGAAGACCCTGGAATTTCAGAGGGCAAACATGGGCCAAACTCATCTCTAGGTATAGCAATTTGAAAATTAAAATGTCTTCTTTTGATAAAACTCTCAAGCATAAGGTTTTTGAAACTTACTCCCAAGAAGAGAAAAATACATTTTATGTAGTCTTCCTGGAGGATGAATTCAGATATTTTCTTGGTATCCTATTTGAAAATTCCATTTGTATGCAGTGGCTCATGCCTATAATCCCAGCAGCACTTTGGGAGGCAGAGGTGAAAGGATTGCTTTAGCTCAAGGATTCAAGACCAGTCTGGGCAACTTGGCGAGACCTCATCTTTATAATACACCAAAAAAACAGCAGGGCGTGGTGGTGTGCACCTGTAGTTCCAGCTACTTGGAAGGCTGAGGTAGGAGGATCGCCTGAGCCCAGCAGGCTGAGGCTGTGGTGGTTGTGAGTATACCATTGCACTCCAGCTTGGGGACAAAGTGAGACTCTGACTCAAAAAAAAGAAAAGAAAATCCCATCTGTAAACTTACAAAAAATCTTTTCTTCCTTATATTTGTCTTTATCAGAACAACTCCAGGAGCTCATCATGACTCCTTACTTTTAGCATTTAATGTGTTTGTGAAAATCTATACAAATAGTAAAGTGTCATATTTTATGGACTATTCCTTAATTATATTTTGGCTTGGTTTAGCTTTGAATATGAAGTTTCACAGTGAAGCACATGAATATTTAAAATGAAGATTAAGCATGTATAGATAATTAAGTTACATTTAGTAAATAGGCGAGATTGGTTTCAGATGTTAGGAAGGATTTAAGATTTTGCAGGCCGGGTGTAGTGGCTCACACCTATAATCCCAGCACTTTGGGAGGCCAAGGTGAGAGGATTGCCTGAGCTCATGGGTTCGAGACCAGTCTAGGCAGCTTGGTGAGACCTCATCTCTACAATAAATAAAAAAATTAGCCGAGTGTGGTGGCACATGCCGTGGTTCCAGCTACTTGGAAGGTTGAAATGGAAGGATCGCCAGAGCCCAGCAGGTTGAGGCTGCGGTGGCTATGAGCATGCCACTGCACTCCAGTCTGGGTGATGGAGTGAGATTCCAACTCAGGGGAAAAAAAAAAAAAGAAAGAAAGATTTTGCAGAAGATTCAATGGGTCTCTGTGTATGTGATTATTATGATCACTTTTCGGATAATATAAGCTTTTAAGTTTGTGTCAAAAAATTTAGCACAGACCATTTGATAAGAGGTCTACAAAAAACTGTCAACTATGGATTTGTGAATTAAAAAATATTTAGGTCTTTGAAATCTTTTTGTTTATGATTCTTTTAGTCATTTTTTTGAAAGACAAATAACATAAAAGGAGATTTGAAGGGTTTTTGGGGGTTTTTTTGGTTTTTTTGTGAGTTGGAGTCTCACTCTGTCGCCCAGACTGGAGTGTAGTGGCCACTCCCGGCCACCGCAGCCTCGACCTGCTGGGCTCCGGCGATCCTTCCGCCTCAACCTTCCGAGTAGCCGCAATTACAGGCGCGTGCTACCACGCCTGGCTCATTTTTGATTTATTGTAGAGATGAGGCCTCGCCAAGTTGCCCAGAAGGGTCTTGAACCCGCAGGCTCAGACAATCCACTCGCCTCAGCCTCTCAAGGCGCGGGATTACAGGCTGAGCCACCGAGCCCGGCTGAAGTTTTTATATTTATCAAAAGGAAGACTGGGGGTTTTTGTTTGTTTGTTTGTTCTTTTGAGTTAAAGAGACATTATTTGGTGCATTCAGCATCTTTTTAAACTATTTTGCCTAAGTCTCTTCTCTTGAGCTGATAAGAAGTGGAAGAACTTTGGGGTTTTTTTCCCCATTTTAGGGTACAAGTCTCTTAAAATCTGTAATTCTCTAAAATGGCAGGACCTCTTGAGTTTTACTTCCTCAGATTGGATCATCATCGTTTCCGTCATAACTTTCCTGGTCAGTGGGCAAATCAATATTCAGCCTGGGGAATAACAGGTGAGCTGAATTTGGGCTCACCTGGTTGGACATCTGTGCTTGGTGAAGGGTATTCAAGAGAGAAGCAGGCTATTTAGTTGTTGGCACTGGTTGGTACACATGTTGGATTACCCCTCCCTGAACAAGGCCATTTAGTTTTCCTCTCTTCCCCACACCTTCTGCCAACTCTCTTGATGGGAAATACCAATAATGTTGGCTCTCTTCCTCATCCTTCATGCTCTGTCACTTGTTAGGACTTCCTGGTGGGCCTTTCACCCTTGAGTTCTCGCTGGTTGTGTCTTTAGTTCCTCTTGCCTAGACTTGCTATGATGGACATTTTCATGCAGAAAGAAGTCTAAACTCTCTGGCTAGTGTACTCTTAATTTTCTCTTTCAGTTCCATCATGTACTGCTTCTTTTTACTTGCCTTTTCATCCAGCTACACAGCTATCTTTTACTAAATGTATCTGAAACACTCTTCCATTTCCCAAGAATGCCATGGTGATTAAGAGCACAGACTCTGCTTGGGTTCATATCTTGTCTTCAACATTTACTAACATATTACTTTGGAAATCTAACTTAATCCCACTGTGCTTTCAGATTCCTCATGATAAAATGGGAATAAGAATACCTTCTGCCTGACAGGGCTGTTGTAAGGAACAAAAAAGATAATCCGTGTAAAGGACTTAGAATTGTGCCTACACATAGTATTATTATATAAAGTATTAATTGTAATCATTATTACTCATTATTATTGTTATTTCTGTCTAATGGTAAAGTCCTATGTATTTTCTCAGATCTCCCCAACTACAATAAATTTTATTTATCCCTTTGATGCATTCATCTAGCCATTGTTTAAAAAATTTAAGACTTGCTTAAATATTATTTGAATACTTACTATATATATGATATAAGACTTCTCACTCTGAGAATACTAAACTTAAGTACATACTGCCCTCTAGGAACTTAGAGTCTAGTAGGAAAGATCAGAGAAGTAGAAAATATTAATTTCTTGAGCAAATGTTTATTGAGCAACTGCAGATGATCCAGGCACTGTATATAATTAGTGTTCTGAGTCTGGTGTCACAGTTAACAACTAATTGTAGTGAAAGATCAGTTTGAGTACCTTAAGCAAAGCACAGTTGAAGTGCTTTAAGAGCGTAGAAAAGAGAGTTTAGCAGCTAAGAGGTTCAGGAAAGACTTTTTAGAGGAAATGTTGCCATCTTAGCAGGACCTTCAGGATGGATGGACTTTGCCCATCTCCCCTTCTCAGGAAGCATTCATGTACTGCCTTGGGCTGTGGCTGTAGTTGGACTGTAGGTTTTTCATAATTGTAAGCTCCTCAAGTGTTCACTTCATTTTTGAGTTCCTACTGCTCACTTTGGATCTAGCACATACTCAATTGAGGGTGGTGACAGATTAGGGAGATGTCTCTTCCTTAGTAACTTAAAGGGAGATTGTAATTTGATGATTCATAATATCTATGAAGCAGTCGAACTTCCTAGAGAAAACATTAGCAGTCAAATTTCCTAGAAAAAACATTTGTACACACTCAACGTGAGGTTTTTGGAGATGTTCATATTATTTCTTACACATTAATTGTAGCCATAGTGACAGGAGTGTAATGAAGAAAATTCTGCATCATTCCATGTAGATATTTCTTCCCATGTTTCTGTATACTTCTGGGAAGAGACTCTTATAGATTTTCCATTAAAGGCTACCCTGGTCCTAGAATTCCAGGGTATGATTTCATGAATTTGATCACATGAGAAATCTTAGTTTTAAAAACTGCCCAACAGTTTTAATTCTGAATTTCTCCTTGTAGCAAGGAGCAAGGACCAACCCCAGTGGAGAAAAAGAAGAAAGGAAAAAGGAAAAGTGAAACTACAGTGGAGAGTTTAGAACTGGATCAGGGCCTGTCGAACCCATCCCTGCGGAGTCCTGAGGAGTCCACTGAGTCTGCAGACAGCCAGGTACAGCTGTGACCGGGAGGCCTGGTGGAGGTTACGGCTGCTGGATGGGGTCTTGCTGACACTGATCCTATCGCTCTTCTATGCTATCTCTAGCATAGTATCTAGACCTGGGCTGGGCTTTTACTGTTGTGGGTATGAGCAGGTAGACTACAGTCTTTTTCCCTAGCCTGATCCTTATACTAATAATATACCAGTTTTTTAGTGGTGTTTACTTCTTTCTTGGAAAGTAGCATACTACTGGGCTGCAACTGATGTGGACAGTGAGGTTGTAAGCCAAGCTAGGTAGTGCTCAGGGGAACTGTTTTGCCATGCAGGTGATGCATTTAATGTCAGAGTGCTAGGCCAGTCTGCACACTCATTTTCATAATCTCAGATGCTGGAAAAATCAGAGATGTATTCATTATGCCAAAAAGTAAGGAAAGTTTGGCCAAACGTGAAAACACAGAGTTGCCCGTCTAAATCAGATTCCTATAAATATGTCAAAGTGTGCCCATGATGTTGTTAGGGACTTTCTTTCTGAGCTGAGAATCTCTCTTGGACATGAAGTCTAATTTTTGAAAGTGCTCCATTTCCTCTGATATCCACAGCAATTTAGCCGTGTTGTTACAAGGGGACCATTTAGAATAAGACTGGACCCTCGTAGGTTTCTCAGTGATGTTCACTGTAAGAAGATAACAGCTCATGATGTCATAGTATTAATACATAGTAATGTCTGGTGTCAGAGCCTATAAACTGGGGCTGATGGCTGTCAGGTATTGAGATTGGCAAAGTAGCAAGCACATCAAGTTGATTGGATTTGTGTTTGTAGGATGGTAATCTATATCTGGGATTGGGGGAGAGATTTTTATATGGACTCCCTCATGCAAAGCAAAACATCAAAGAAATGATGTAGTGAAGAAGTGATGGGAACACAGAAAGTGCCCAGGAGGTATCTTTTGGAAGAAAGAAGAGGTGAGGTTTTGCTTTTTTTTTTTTTTTAGGTTTAAATATTTGAGAATGAGTTAACTGATTCCTTTAAGTGATTCTGTGCTTGGATATGATGAGTATGTAGAGATGAATTGGGTGCTTCTCTGAGAAAAGCCACTGGGCTGCTTTGTTGTTGAGTGTTGTCTCTCTAAAAGGTACAAGCTACTTAACTAAAGATAAGTCCTTAGATCATCATGATCAAGGTGACTCAGGAACCTTGTTTTATCATACTTAAAATGTCTTCTTGCGTTTCAAAAAGTGTTATGAGATTCTCAAAGTAAGCTCCAATAAAGTTATTATTAATTTTTCAAGCTACATTTTTAGAAGTATGTGGTAAGTACAGTGATCTCAAGCAAAAAGTATGCAAAACTGGCATTATTGTCATAAGATCTGAGCTTCTAACTAATGCTGGAAGGGACCCCAAAGATGATAAAGTTCATCTCCCATCCCTGTTTTATTGGGATAGAAGCAGATTCCAGAAAGGAAGAAAAAAACGTCCCCGCCATTGATGAACAAAACACATCTCCGAGGACTACCCCTTCTTTTTAGTGAATCGTGGCAGTTCGGAGATTAATAATAATATGCCTCATTCAGCTAGATCCCATTTTAAGCGAATTTAGTCCTTAATAGAGTTGTGTTTAAGTAAGATTTCTCGTGTAAGGTGAGCAAGCTCCTTGGCATGTTAGTAAATGTAGATAAGGGTATTCTTGTGTAAGCTTTTGCCTTTGACTCACAGAGTTTCTCTGATGAGTATATTTGCCCTGCAGAAACGACGCTCAGGAAGGCAAGTGAAGCGCAGAAAATACAATGAAGACCTGGACTTCAAAGTGGTAGATGATGATGGGGAAACAATTGCTGTTCTTGGAGCTGGCCGAACATCTGCACTCTCAGCTTCTACACTGGCTTGGCAGGCAGAGGTATGGCCTTTGTATGAAGGTGCTGACCTTGGCTGGACAGTCATTTGGTCTTGTTGACAGAGTTGTTCTGTGGCTCTTTGTTGAAGCTTGCATTAGATCATTTTAACTGCTGCTGGTAACTTTCAAATGACTACCTGTTTTACTTAGAGTGAAATGCATACTTCTTTCTGTGCCTAGCAGGATTCTCTTTGATCATACTCTCTCCTTGTTGCACCTAATTTTTTAGGTAAATGACTTTTCCGTATCTCTCATTACACTCCAGCGAGAAGACTGGCTATTTTTTAATGCCTTGAACTAATAATAGTTCTTTTCTATCTACAGGCCTTTGCCTGTGTTGCTCCTTCTCCTTGGAATACTTTACATAACTGGTTATCATCGTTTAAGTTTCACCTAAAATAGTATCTTCTTAGACAAGTCTTTCCTGACTCTTTTTCTAAAGTAGGTCTCTGCCCCACATCCCAGTGATTCTCTATTTCAGTTCCTTATGTGTTTCCTTCATAGCATTTACAACTTGTAATTGCATTTGCATGTGTCTGATCTCTGATTTTGTTTTCTTTATCTCTCTTATTGGAATGTAAAAGCCTTTATTATACAAAATAGTTGTTCAGTGAATGAGATCAAATTCTACATTACAGTTGGAAGGAACTTTGATTCACCAAATGTGTATTGCAAGTATGTGCTAGGTACAGTGGCTATGCAGAAAGAGGAGTCGATAGGAAAGGAGTAGAGAGAGGTATAGGAAGACAAGGTCTTAGGAGGAACATGTTCAACATGAACTAAAGTCCCAGAACCTGAATGGTACTGCAGGCTGTGATATGACAAATGAATGAGCTTGACTGGATGCTGAGGTGTCATTTGAGGGATGGGGCAAGTAGAGGACTGAGAGGTAGGAGCAGTCACAGTATGAAGGACCTTGGTTATCACCTAAGAGATTTGGCCTTTATACTGTAGATGGGATGAGGGTGGGAGGCATTCATGGGTTTAAGCAGAGAAGCTGGACAACTATATTTGCATTTTGGCAATTTCTACTGGTGGCAGCATCAAAGAGGAAGATAATAGCATTAGGACTTGATTACAGAAATACTAGAAAGCAAAAGAGTTAAATGTTGAAAAGGAAGCGGTCTGTGCTGAGGAGCTTAAAGAGAAGAAATGATAAACAAAGAAACAAGCAGGCTGTGCATGTAGGAGGGACATTATTGCCAGCAGCACGTTCTGGGGCACAGGCTGTCCGTTGTTATGGAGTCGCTATTGCTGACTTGGCAGAATTTACACACTCTATGGATGGCAGCAGAACAAATACCTGTCATTCCTCCTGGACACTAATGTGTCTTTCAGAAGCTGGTAATACTTTATCTTCTTCAACCACCTCGCCTCCGACTTAAGGTATTTTCACATAATTTCACACATCCTTTTACTCTGTATTTGCATGGAAAGTTGCAAAGAGCAGGAGTTATTGTCCCTATTATAGCAATCAAGAAACTAAGGCTCAGAATGATCCAGATCAGAGTTATTTAGCAGCAGTTAATCAATGACTAGCATGTAAGAGTTGATTTCATGTCTCTGCTAAGGGTTATCCAACTAATGAATATAATACTTAATAGGAATAATAATTTGATATATTGTCATTACAGTACTTTTCAAGCAAGTAATTAAAAGTAGCTCTTACAAGACTGCCATTAGGGGGTAAGATTGTGTTGCTTTATTATGGGTTTTCCTTCCTTGTGGATTTTATGGTGGTTTTGGTAGTTGAAACACTGTAAGGGATTTTATTTTCTCCTAGTAGTTATTTAGCCTAAGCCATTAACCATATTTCAGATGTTGTTATGATTTCTCCGATGGCACTTGACGAGCAACAGTAGCTGATATGACAGAAATAAGTCAGGAAATTGTATGTATTTTATCAAGGCTCTTTTTTCTCTTCTAAGAGTACAACAAAGAGAGGGTTTATATCTGGAGAAACATAAGTTAAAATCTGAATTTGCTTTAACTATGCCTCAATTTATCAAATTTAAGCACAAAAGAGGCTTGATATGTGGTTTTGGCTTTTATGTTCAGAGAAGCAACCATGTGAATCTGGCCTCCAAACCTGAAGTCTGGCTTAGCATACAGAGCAGACCAGACAGCCATTGAGGGAACCAGAGAGATCAGCTTATTGAGTGGTTTTCAAAATCATTGCTCCGTAGAGCCCTAGCTGCTGCAGAACTACAGCTGCTCACCTTGCAACTGTTTTACATGCCGGGCTTTCTGGTGAAGTTTGAATAAGGGTTTCCCAGGTTAAGGCAAAGTTTGAAAACCATGGATCTCATGTAGGGTTCCAGGCAATCCTCAGGGCTTTTCTTACGTTCATCTCCTGATGACTCCTTTTGGTGGGTGTGTGCCTGCCTGCTAACTTTAACTCAGGGCAGAAAGGGGAATGGAGTCCGCACCAGAATGGCCCCGCTGTCTTTTTTCTGCCAATCTGTGCTGTGTCTTGTCAGCATGCTTAACCCCAGATCACAGCCTCAGCATTAGTTACCAAGTGGTGATGTTGCTAAAAACATCTTTATACACAATTCATTCTAGCTCAAGACTGGCATATTATCACAGTTCCACTTTGGAATCCAGTAGGCAGTCCTAAGCCCCTTGACTTGGGTATGGAATTCAGGGACTGGAAATAAGTTTCCATCCTAACTGTGACTCTTTGCTTTCTATTTCTTTGTCAAATTGATGTTGGTGCCTGGAACAGACAGTTAAACAGTGCATTTGCCAAGATATAGACTTACAAGCTGACTCAGTTTTTACCTCCTACATTTGAGTAGCTTGTATGATCTTGCCTTTTGGAACAAAAGGACTTTAATTTGAATGAGACTTTTCAGTGCTCTCCTATGCTCTCCTATGCCTCACTCCATGTCTTTGCATATAGTATTGTACCTCTTCTTTGTCTGACCTTTTCCTGTGTCTGGTGGGCTGAGCTCAGTTGTTTCCTTTTCCAGAAAGTTCCCTGCTCCCACTGAGCACTCTAACTCTGTCGATGTCCTTTGAACACCTGCCAACTTTTTTGTTTCCTTCTTCTAAACCACGAGCTACTATAGAATATGGCTTGCATCTTTTTTCCCTATGTACTTTGGCGGGCATGAAAATGTTTTACTATAAAGTTAAATTCACAATAACTCCCAGGAACCATTCAGATGCAACTGCACTTTCCATCTTCTGTTCTGTAATGTTATTTACTGTTGTTGTTTTTATTATTCCCAACTCAGCGAGAACCCTTGTACCACTTCTTCATAGCCTAATGATTGTTCTGATTTTCGGTGCCTCTGCCGTACTGTTTTAATTATCACTCTGGACTGTTCTCTTCATCAGGTTGTAAAGTTTTGCAAAGTCAGGCATCGCTTTCTCATTTATTGTAATTTTCACTTAGCATAGGTAGAACTTTATGTTTCTGTTGGGTAGTAACTAGTATAAAGACTTGTACTTAGTTGTATTTATCATATAATTATTCAGTGAATGAATACATATGTTTAAAACCCATTATGTAAACAGTTATGATTAAATAACTTTTTTTTTCCATTTCCTTATACTGGTATTTTTTTCCCCACTGGTATACATCAGTCCAGGCAGGCACTTACTTAAGCCTGCAGGCAGGCCCTCTTTCTAAGGCTGCTTGCTGCTGTTTAGCATCCAAAGCTGTAACTTTGTACCAGCTTGCATGTCTCAGTGCAGCCATCAGGTGGGGCCCTTCAGCATTAGGCTCCTATCTGCTCAGCCTGGGCTGGTGTTTCTTTCTTTCTTTTTCTTTTTTTCTTTTGGGTGTTTCTTGAGTCTTCCCATTTTTTTCATTGGGTATAAACAGCAATTCCCGCACTGTGTTTTTCTTCAGGTTGTTTCCTGTATTTGTTTTATCCTGCCACCCTCTATGCTGAGGCCAGTGTTTAATTTGCCGCCACACACACTGTAGTTCCTTGCTACAGGTGTCTGTTGTCCCCAATCTGATACCAGACTAATTTTCCCAAAATACCAGAATTGCTGGTATTTTTCAGTTTCCTGTTCAAGAAATCTGAGGTGGTTACTTCTTAACTCCTTTAAGGTTTTTTAAAAAATGCGACTGCATACTACCTGTTTACCCTCATTTATTCCCACTCCTCATTGTGTGTAATACTTTTACTCTAATGAGACAGTTATTCACTATTCAGATATGTGTCATTCTTCAAGTTCATTTCACCTTACCTTCCTCTTTGCTGTCCTCTTTTATGAGGGCCCAACTAAAACCTTACCTGTTCTGTGAAAAGCAAGCTATTCTCACTTTCTGAACTCTTATAGGATTATAGTTACTATCATACCAATTAGCATTTACCCTGGGACATTTCTAAGACAAATATGTTTATTTTGTTTTCCCTGAATGAGTGCAATCCCCTTGAGACTGGGCATCAAGCTTGATACTATTTTTGTTTATTCCATGACACTGGCAAATATTTGATGATTTGAAAAAAGTGATTTGTTTCTTGCTAGACCCCCTTCTTATGGTAAGCTAAATAGAAGTAAAAGAGGTGGTTGGTTGAGATTGGAGGTGAATAGGGTTAAAAGTTTTTGTTATTTTCTCTAAGAATAAAATTTAAAATTATTGCATCTCTGTCATACAAGTGAATGAATTAGAATGGTCTTCTTTGAAGGATAATTTGAGGAAATTCCAAGCAGTTGAGAACAGATGGTTGTTATGGAAGTATGTTTGGCAAGCAGATTTAGTTTATATCTGTGTGTATCTGTATACACTGAGTGTTTGTACACACATGATCATTACTTATGCACAATCTCTGTTTAGAAAAAAAAATTCTGATTTTCCAGTTTCCTTCCCACTTTAATGTGTATTTTGGAAATGTTTCCCTTTTCTTTTATTAGGATAGAATAAAAACCTACTTTCTGTGTTTTGATGATCACTGCTGATTCTTTAACACTAGTAACTCACCCTCTTCTTTAACCATTGCCAAAAAATAAGTTGAAATTTTATTTCAAACTCCTTAATT